GGGCATCACGTACGCAGCTCCCAGTTAGGCGGCGCCGCCCGCCGACACGACGACGCCCTCTCACTCGCCGTCGATTGCATCCGCACACGCGCGCCCGCGCCAGCGTGGTCGCCGCGTCCAACGCGAACGTTCGTGACGCGAGGCGTGCGCGACCGGAAGACCGTGAAACCGGAAACAATGTGAGTGAGTGCCGCGAGTTCGTAACATCCACGCGAATCCACACGCGCGCGCGCGATTGCTGTCGAACAATCGGGAAGTTCGGGATTCGCGAAACGACTCCACGCGTCGCGAACGCATGACGTGAAACGGGAAAACAAAACAGTGTGCGTGTGTGTGCGGCGTGAGTTCGTATCATCCACGCACTTCCACACTCGTGTGTGGTCGCCGCGTCGAACGCGAAGGTTCGTGATTCGGACTCCACGCCACGCGAGGCATCCACAGGACACAGAAGGGCGTGTGCATCCGCGCGCCTTCACGGAAATCCGCACGCGGCAACGTAAGTGTTTCGCAAGTCTGTGCGTGAAGTACAAGAAGAAAAGAAAGAAAAAAAAAATCAACGTCACCCGCGGTCATCCGGACGAGTTCTCGGGATATCGCATTAAGTACTCGCGCTGAAAGCCTGTGTAATACACGTGGTCCCACCCGCGCCTGCGCAGACGATCCGCGGTCGGGGGGAACTTCGTTAGAATCCACGCAAGGCAAGTGGTTGCTGCGTCAAATGCAACAAGTGCGGGTGCTGACGAATTCCTGAATTCCAGGCGCCCCCTACACAGATGATTCGCCGTTCAATGGAACTAAATGGTACTCTTTGCAACGCCAAAGAACGCCAGTGCTGATCAGTGCAATCCACGTGACTCTACGCGTATTTATGCGGCAGATTCTCGATTTCACTCTTTACAGAACCGGACTCCAAATGAACCAGGGTATCGGGGCGGGTCATTGAACGCATTAATTACGAATGGTCAGAGTGTCTGCTATCTATAAATCATCACAACCATTCACGCTACTCTTCCTTACTCCATGAAAGGGCAATGAAACAGAAAAAAAACTAGTTCAACGCAACACCAGCTTTCCATTCTAGTCATCTGTCTCCGGAAGTTCTAGTCCTGGGTTCCATGAAATCTCTACACCCCACCGCCTATCTGAATTGCTGGTGATGCAACTTAGTGATTCCTAAGAAGACTACGCGTCGCGTTGGATTGATTTGGCAAAAACGACACATCCGAATCCTGAGTGTCAGTGCAAACCGAACGACTCCACGCCACGTACATTCACGCCACCGGTAGATATTTCCACGCAGCACCCCAATAACAAAATAGATTTTTCCATCAATGAAATTCTCCAAATGACATCCGTGTGACGCTAACAATAGTTTTGAATCGCCGAACAGTTCCAATTGAACACAACTGGGTCCTTGCAGAACTTAATATTAGTCATACTGTCCCATTCATCAGTGTGTCAACGCGTTCCCCCCCCCCCCCCCAACACATCCGCAGATCGTTACGTCATATATGCGTCTTGCCTCGTGCAACCTCTCATCTCCATATTGACTTCTCTCCGTCTAGAAATGTTCTCGTTGACACAAGATTACTCGCTAAGCAGACCCAAACGCGTTCCAAGAATCTCGACTTAAAAAAGAGCTGGTTACCATCCTCAGGAGATCCTGGCTGTCCCCGGCAGGAAGTCACGTATCACTAAGCACATTCCAAGCTTCTCCACGTATTCGAAGCATCTGTGCACAGACGTCATACGATATAGGAACGCTGTGTGTTTTCACCTCCAAGACATTTCCATGCTCTTGTGATTGTGTGCAAATCATCGCACCGTTTCAACGTGTCGAAACATTTGTATTAGCTTGCCATAGGCCTCCACAACAACTTACGCGGCTTCAAAGACCTCCGTTCTGTATGTGTTGTAATGAACCAGGGTGGAATCCATCACTGTGTTTCGTTTTGCATCAATGTTCAGACACGTGGCAGACCGAGCGTAGGTGTGGCTTGTATTCGGCAATTAACACCGGCGACGGTTTTAAAAATATTCACACGACCTGCCACATATTTACGCTGGTCAAGAATAGGATAGCATCACTTGGCCACCTGAACGGCCGGCGCTGGTTTTCGAGGACAAACACTCACCTGTACATGTTACGTCATACGTGGGTTGGACGCAAGTCTCTCTCTCTCCATTGAACGTATCCTTTCCCTTCCATTCATTACGTAGATGAATGACTGTATTGATGTATGCAAAATAGGTGCTAAAGTTGCACACAAAGTGCGATTTCAGTTGCAGAAAACGTTTGACCCTGCTGGTTTGGTTTGTGTTTGTGCGGTGAAATGAGTGATCAGTGAATCAAGAAATGAGAGGTTTCCAGATTACACGCCAGTACATACTACACGAAGGGAAAATATCCGTTCTTTTTACTTACAACCACCAAAAATAGAACATCCATCAGTTATTTCAGTGGGTGCAAACAGCAGACCTAAGAAATTAGTGAAAAGTATTGTGCAAAATGTGTTCCTCAATAAACGTGACTCCGCAATTGTGCCACAAAGAACACATTGCAAAAATATTACATTGGATTAATCAACAAATCCAGCGCTCAAAATATCTAGAGTGATGTGTTAAGTGCTTGACAATGTTTGTTTTCTTCTATCAAGAGTAGCAATAACACTAAAGTAGCTAAGTATCCACAACGGCTATCAGAACTCGTAAATCCTAGTCGAACAGTTGCCTTGAATCGTGTGATTCGAGGATCATTTCGAACTCGTTCATGGGAACACACCAGTCCTGGCCAGCCCCGAGAGTTCTGCAAGTCATGCGTAAACATGTTGCTATATTTATCCTGGGGTGTGACGTGAACGCTAGGTTTCGAGCGCATCGAAAGCCCATTAAAATAGCATTGCTTTCGGATTCCAGAAAGTGACTTTTAAATGTTTCGTGTGTTCCGAGAAATTCATAAGTCGATTCTAGTCGCATCAAAATAGCACCAGTAACAAATGTGTAAATGGATAACAAGACACCACAGACAGACCATTACAGTAAACATAGAAACTTGTAAATAATTGCTTTTGGATTTTTTAATACTGAATTTATGAGGGTACTATTGAAACTTCAGTGCCACGTGAAACATACATGGTGTCTTCTGGTATCAAGCCAACCTTCAGAAAATCTTGTGACTCCGATCGTTCTTGGACGAAAATAAGAAATTGGGTTTCTTCACCGCGGGGCTACCTCAGGGACCCTCATTCATCCACCTACGAGAAGAAAAATACTCGTAAGTAACACAGCCAATTGAATATTTAAAAAAAAACTAGTATTAAAGGAAAAAGTGAATTTTAGCCATCCTCATTTTGTAAAAATAATTTTCTGTAGCAATCTGGTCACCTGTCGTTTACCTAAAACCAATCGTAATTTTTAAACAATTCGCGAGAGAAAAAATTCACATTAAACTTCATTTCTAATTTTCTTTCTCTTGCTGATTTTCTCTCTGCCTCTCTCGCTGTCTGTCTGTATCTCTCTCTCTCTCTCTCTCTCTCTCTCTCTCTCTCTCTCTCTCTCTCTCTCTCTGTCGCTGTCTCTCTCTCTGTCGCTCTCTCTCTCTCTCGCTGTCGTTTCTCTCTGTCGCCTGTCGCTGTCTCTCCCTCTCTCTGTCGCTCTCTCTCTCTGTCTCTCCATCTCTCTGTCGCTCTCTCTCTCTGTCTCTCTCGCTGTCACTCTCTCTCTCACTTTTTCTTTTTATCACAGGTCTTATCTTTTAAATTATCATACTAAAATTTTTCTGTGAAAGTAAATGTTTGCGAGACTTCAAAATAATTTTCATCCTAACTTACTACTACAATTTCCTACACATATCAATTGTACGTATCAATTTCAAGAATCGCTTACTGATGGTCATGTTATGGTCATGTTAAGTTTTCATATTCCAAATAGACAAATATTGTTTGATCTACTCTTGAATCTTCTGTGAAGAAGCAAAGTCAAATTCATTAACTGAATTAATACATATTATATACTTTTACAAACCTAGTTACCTAAAACCTTAGTTTGAATAGCGAAAATTTGAAATTTTCGAAAAAATTAGGATTTTTAACAAACGTGAGACATGTACCATTCTGTCAAACAGTCAAACATTCTCAATCCAACAATAAAATTTTATCAGAAACGATGGAGTCATATTTTTAAATGTCCCAGGGGCTTCATGTGAAGTACCCCCCAAAATTAAAATATCGGTTTCAAATTCAAGGAGCCGCGACTTTAGCTAGATCAATTGGGAAATATCAGTCTTGGAGAAAATCGGCTGAACGGTTCAACCGGTAGCGTTGTTCACAGGCGGACGGACGGACGGACGGATAGAGCTCTTGCCGTCTTTGGATTTTTCAGTATCAAGGACCCGCAAAAGATGGACTCTCACTAAACCACGCGTTAGAGGTCTTTCATCTAAATTTACCAATTGGATTTATTTACTTTTTTGTTACGGTCCAGCAATAATATAACATTCATTCTTTTCAAAAGCGGTACCTTCTTAAGGGCCAGAATGTAAAAAAGTTAATGTTTAGATATGCATTGGGGTTAACGAAAAAGGGAAAGCGTCTGATGAAAATGAACACGATATCATTTCTAATATAAAAATTTTATCTTATGCAGTATTTTTTAAAGTAAACCGCTAATGTAAAAAAAATGCAAATACATTATTATTATCATCTATATTAATTTCTGTTTCTAATAAATCCATGCCTGACGATTTGTGCTCGTAAACTTTAAGAATTGATGTAACTTGATGATCTGCAAATTAATTTAATGTCGTTCTTCCATAACCTTATGAAATTGTAAGTTTATTTTAACAATTCCAATTATACTTTCTACATTTATAAATTAACCCGCAATTACTCGCACTTATTCAGTTATGTTATCACTGTTGTGTTATATTTTGACTAAGCCATCATATATTCAATATGAATACAAGATACATCCATCTCTGAGTCGGTGATCGAAATGGAACGTCCACCTCACCTCAGGAATAAAGGGTTTCAAAAGTGTAACCGCCTGTTACAGAGTGGGAGGTATAACAAAACTAAATTTTGCAAAGTATTCTTTGAAATACCTTTTAGACAAACTGTTGATTTTCTCCATTTTGCAAAGTATTTTTTGAAAGACCCCTCAATTAGACGATTGATTTACTGAATTTTGCAAAGTATATTTTGAAAGACCTCTTAATCAAACTGTTGATTCACTGTCAGTCTGGCATTCATAAGAAGTGAATTTTACTGCCCGCTTCGGTGTCTTTTAAGTGTTACTCACGAGGCTATTTTAAGGGGAATCCATAATGAGGAGGAGAGGGAGTGCCTTCGACACCCGCTGAAACACAGCGATAAATAAAGTCTCCTAAAAATCCTAAGGAAAGTGTGACGTCAAGGCAAGTTCCTGGGATCGTCCAGACCAGTCTGCTTTCCTTGGAAGGCGTCCAGGAAAATCGAACAAAGAGCCAGCAGCTTGCACTGCAGCTTGCAGCCGCTGCCACTGACCGCAAGAAGGAAAAAAAATAATGTTCTACTTCTTCTGTTATCACCATAATAATAATAATAATAATAATAATAATAATAATAATTTATTATTATATATTTTTATTGTTCCTCTTAATTCACGATTCCGATTCATGTTATGAGTCGGTTGATTATAAAGTGTACTTCAAGTTGCAACCAGCTTCCTAAGGAGCAGATCTAGAGACAATCGGTGACTTTACAATACTTTACGCAGAATGTGGACTGTTCCCAATAAAGCAATGTCTTGCACTTCCCGGGGTTTTGAATAACCTCAGAGTGTACCTCAGTTCTTACACAGATTTTGCGGAACAAATCCCAGAGTTCCGATAACTATTGGGACAAACTGTGCTTTTATACGCCACACATTCGGCTGATCTATTTCCAAACTCTTGTATTTATATCATCTTCATTATTACTATTATTATTATAACTATTACTGTTATTATTATTATTATTATTATTATTTTATTTCTCGTTTTTTTCCAGAATTATGGGCCTTTAGTCATAGGGCCTACCACGTTCATAGCTTTAAACATTTGCGTGTGAACAATCCGGCAGATTCAAAAACTGACTCACGTTTGAGCTTTTGGAATAACTCTGTGAGGAGGAAGACCGAATTCTTCTAAATAATACTTTCGATTTTTGATAACAAGACCAGTTGCTGTTATTTCATTGGTATAATCTCAAAAAACTCTAGTTAGTATATTTATATTATATTGAGTGGGGAATACATTTTGAGATTTTTTCTGTTTCTGCTTTAGTGATGTGATCTGTAGGATGTACAGCATCAATGATGAATGCTTTCTTTCCCCGTACGTTGTGTAGTAGAATGTGTGGTATAATAATTATTATTATTATTATTATTATTATTATTATTATTATTATTATTATTATTATTATTATTATATTGCTGTTATTTTCATTGCTGTCATTACCCTGATATATGCAACAATATGCAAGAAACAAAGAACTTATTCAATATATAACATTACACTAGAGGCCTGCCGCAGAAAAAAATGCTGCTGGGCAAAACCACACAAAATAGTTTTCCAAAAAGTAGCACGCACACTTCTCTATTAATCAACAAATAAAATACTCTCTTATAACACTGCATAACAAAATATATTAACAGAACCGTCTTCACACGAATTCTGCAATAACATAGTGTAATATGTAATACAGCAGTTCAGCAGGTACAGCAGTTCTCTACATCGCAAAACTATCAAAAACGTCGCTGTTTCCGAGTGCATCACGTGAATAGCGAATTCCGGGTGTCAAGGAGGAGGTACCCCAATATCTTACAAAACACTATTTCGAAATGCAGTTTTCGCCCAACAAAGCGGATTCTTGGGGGCAAATAACTTGCCGTAGAGATAATGTTTGCAATATTTTAGAGTTCGAAAAATTTACTCGACTTTGATATTTTTTAATACACTATATAACTAGCAACGAATGTATAATAAAAAGACGTGATCATAAGGTGTTCTTAAGCCTGATCTTTGGCAGCTATTACCACTGCTTTCAATTTTGACTTCCATATTGCCCTTTTTACCCACATTTATTAATATTCTTAAAATCATTGCCGTTAAAAATGTATACTACTCAGAATAATGTACTTCATCATTTACGATTGTTTTGAAAGAGAACTCTAACAGGGAAGCATGTTTGCAGAATGTCAGCGTTCTGCTTAACGGTGATAAGACCGTAAGGAAGTTCCAAGATTTCTATTCTTGATTTGAGGTTACGAGAGATAAACCCTTCCGCATAAAATTATTACATCATTCTTTCCCAGATTTTTATGATGCTTAACATTTCACAAGCCGAATTAAGAGAAAGAAAAATCCCATAATTATTAGTCATTATTTTTATTAATATTTATTTATTTTGAGATAATTTACAAAACTAGGAAACAAATTACTTTTGCACAAAACCAACATTTGGAAACAATAAATACTCTCATAAGCACGAGAATTAAAATATTTTAACAAATAACTTCTCAATTCTTCTATATTAATATATATATATATTATATATATATAATATATAATAGATAATATAGATAGATAGAGTATATAAATAATGATAGATATAAGTACTCACACAACTATTCTTATGTATCGAAATATCACAGATTGTTCCATAATGCATCTGGAACAGAAAATTAAATGCAACAGGCTCATCTTTGGAGCCCTTACATAAGGTGCCGCGTGGTGACAAAGTGAGGATGAGAAAATTCAGTTGGTACCAGCAGTGTGAAAATACGCGGAGTAACATAACCAAATATTTGCGTGTTTTTTGTTGTTGTTTTCAGTCAAATTGCAACTGTTGCATTGTGTTTGTATTTTTCCTTAATTCCGAGAGGTATTCAACAAAATAATATGCTTCTCCAGTGCCTGCGCTAGGCATGGGAGGACCGCGCGATCGCCCGAGGCCCTGCAAGTCAAGGGAGCCGATGATGGAACTCATTTAGAAAAAATCAGCAATAGTGGTGTTACAGAATGGCACAGACTTTTCCGTGTTAGTTTTCTATTTTCATTGGTCGCGGCTAGCTTTTAGGACGTGCCACATAATTTTGCCAGGGGCCATCTATCGCCGCCCAACCTATTTATTTTTGAAATGTTTCGGTTTCCTAATAGTAGAACGGAAATATAATAAGAATATTAAAACAAACCAGTAAAACATCGTCCTAAATGGCAATTTTCAATTACAAATTTGGAGCTGTTTGGCAATTTCC